CATGCAAGCACGTAAAGAAAACTAAATGGAATCCGTTTTGTGCTGATATACACACACATATACACACACATACACACACATATACACACATATACACACACATATACACACACATACACACACACACACACACACACACACACGCAAACGCAAACGCACACGCACGCACGCAAGCACGTAAAGAAAACTAAATGGAATCCGTTTTGTGCTGGTCAACTATTCCTGGGCATAGGGCCTGCCCTGGGGTGTGGTTGAACTCCACTGGTGAAAACTGGTTTTCCCTTTCCCGGTGGGCATTGACCGCAAATCGCTTCTTGGTTGGGACTGGGACTCTGCAGTTCCCCTTCTCAGTGCTGCATCTCGTCTGGCTTGAGCTTGTGCAGGTCTTGTGCATGCTGTGACCGTCTCTGTGAGTCATGTGTTCATCAGCCCTGCTGTGTCTAGAAGACTGTTTACTCTCTTCCCTCCTCTTCTGAAGAGATCTCGAGCCTAGAGGAATATCTTGAGCTGCCAGGTAAAACCTCCAGTGCCAGACCTCAGCTTGCTGAGTTGTTGGCCAGAGGGGCCCCGTAGACCCTCCAAAGCATCAGAAGCTATAGCCAAGGCTGTTGGTTACACTCCACAACTTGATGGTAAAAGCTTTACCGCTGAAGATACAACTTACTTATGCTATCGAACATGGAGAAAACGAGCTGGTGCCCAACCAGGTGCCCAACCAGGTGCTTTACCCCCACTGACCAGTATTTGTGGTAAGATATTCTGCACACTATCAAAGGGAAAGCATCATCTATATGACCCAGTTATGATCCCTGAGGCCCACAGCAGTGACCTGCCTGTAAGATACACTGGTGTAATCATGACACAAATATTATGGGAGTAACAAACCCCTTTCTGGTTAGATTTAAGGCCCCCTCTATGAGTCCTAAATCCATACCTAGCCCTACTAAAGTGAACCCATACCTAACACCACTAAAGTGACAAGAAGCCACCTTCAACAATCATTTTCCCAGGCAACCCCAGGAGCTCAGTCAGGGTCATTGCAGGATCCTTTCCCAGGAAGGATCCCTAGGCCTGACATCCAGCAACCCTTGACACGCTGGCTGTCCACATCTGGCCCCTGGTGGTTCCTGGTGAGATTCGACCCAGAGGAAGCTATCTGGACAACACATCAGGCTCAGACCTGTGGGCAATGTGGAGATAACGATGTTGACGATGGCCATATGACACTGAGATGCCAGCACTCCAGGGACACTCCGAGTCTTTAAGGTGGGGAGTATGAGGCAGCTCAGAGCCAAGCTCCTTCCCACCAGTGCCATTCATGGGCCAGCGCTGGGGGTGGACATCTTGAACTTCTTGAGTGTGGATCCAGCCATCACCTCTCGTTATCCCACACTCCAGTCAGGGCTTCTGTCTAGACAGGACTACCTGGGGCCAGTGACAGGCCCATTTCACCCGTCATCTCTCTGTTTCTCTAGTTTTCCAGCAGGAACTCAGAGCTGGATCCTTACCCCTGCCCCTTCCCCATGGGTCCTCTCTCCTAGCCCAGATGGGTGTCCACACAGCCAGTCTGCACTGCCTGTGCCAAAGGTATCACTGTTCAGTGGACTCTGCCCAGTCAAGGGCTCTGGGTTCCATAGGATGGGAACAGAGGTGGAGCAGGCTCTAAAACACAAGCTGGGTAGAGAGGCGGGTACAGGCTTCTGTGGTCACCACGCCTTAGGGAACCCCACGATGCAAGCATGGGTTACCTAAGGAGTCAGTGAGCTCTTGCCCAGTCTGTTTCTCAGAGTGTGAGATCTTCACCATGGCCACAGCCTGGTCCAGTGAGCCTCTACACTGGCCTCTGAGCCCCGGTGTAGTCCACGAGCCATTCAAAGAAACGGTGGCAGTTATGACGGTGGCAGCACCAGAATGCCTTCACTCCTCTCCACAGAACAGTCAGCTGTTATAAAATTCACAACTCGGGCAGAGGTAGGCAGAGTGGCGGCAAAGACGCATTTGTAACAAAGACCGGAAATTGAGCTTTTACCCGCTGAGGAGTCAGTGAAAACAAGAAGATTAAGAGCTTGGAACAGGGATGCCTTTAATCTGCAGGACCCACTCTGCCCAGGGCCCGGCTGCCGATCCTGCAAAACCCAACAACTTGGAGGTGTTGGTGAGATTGCCCTACTAAACAACCTGTTCAGCTGAGATCCATTCGGGAGAGGATTCAGAATCCTACAGTCTGCAGTCTGAGGAAACAAGATCAGCTGAGGAGTTGAGCAAAACAGGACCTGAGAACACAAAAGAAGGCACCACCCAGCCACTGAACCAGATCACCAGAATCATAAGCCTACCTTACACCGACTGGGAACAGGTAAGCACCCATCTCCAGACCGGCAGATCAGGTCTCTAGCCCCTAGGCCCTACCCATGGGAGTCCCAGGGACCAGACAGTTACCTTTCCCTGGTCCCCCACCAAATGAATGAATGAATGAATGAATGAATAATAAATAAATAAATAAATAAATAAATAAATAAATAAATAAATAAATAAATAAAATGCACAACTCAAGCCACCTATCACCACAGATAAGAGGAAGTCTCCACCAGGGAGCAAAAGAAGCTGACAGAGAAAACCTAGACCAGCGCTCGACCATCAGAAGCTCCAGGCCTGTCCCATGATGTCTTGAGCAAACTTCCATGGCTCTTAGCTCTTCAGGGCTGGAAACTCTGGAAGGGGACTTTCCACTGAGCACCTAGGCAAATGCCCACACCCAGCTGGCCTGCCAGAGCCTGTCAGGAATTCTGTTTGCAGCAGGGTCTCCCATAGAGAGTGTGTTGACCCTGACCCCAGCACCTCAGAATGTGACTACATTCAGAGATGGGGTCTTGAAAGAGTTCATTAAGGAAAAATAAGGTCATCTGGCAGGCCTATCTAAGAGGCCATCGTCCTCTGAGGAAAAAAAGATGACAATACATACACATAGTAGGAGATCGTGTGAGGATGTAGGGGAAAGACGCCACCACAAGTCAGAACAGGCCTTGGGAGGAACCAGCAGGCCAGAACCTAGATCCAGGACTTCAGCAACCCAGACTGTGAGGACACCACCCTGCCTGCTCCCACACCCCAGATCAGACATAGGCAGTTGGGTCTGTGTCTGCTGGAGGCTGTAGAGGACAGAAGTGTTCTGAAGCAGACTCTGCTCGATATGGACAAATACCTGACTCTGGCTTCACCACCAGATATTCCTTCTGCGTGAACTTGAGCCACGGCCAGACATGGCTTCCTCAGTACTCAGTAGATTCCTAGGAAGGAATCATATGACTGTATCTCATGGCTGACTGGGACCCCAAGCTCCTCTCAGACACCCAGTCTTTCCTCCAGCACTCACATCTGGCCCTGGATGGCAAACTGGGTCCAGCCTAGCAGAGCTCAGCCCCTAAGACTAACAAAAAGGATCCTGATCTAAAGCAGATAACCACACGCATGAGATGTCCCTCCCATCTCTAACCTGGCCACGGCCCAACTGATCTTCAGATAGGGAGTGAACTGTGCTGGGCTGATAGGAGGTGATGGGACAGCAGCTGTGTCCCACTCCTGGAGCAGAGCCTGAGGGGGCACTCTCATCCCAGCCTCCTAGTCCTCTCCCCTACTTCCTGAAATGCTCTTGGGCAGAATAACCCTCAGGATACATCAGAGCATCTAGACATGAGATCTGGGGAATGCACAGACCGTGCTCACATGCACACGGGTACACCAGGCAGCCCCATACTTCATTGCATTTGCTACACCTTGGTTTGCCTTCTGTTACTATGATAAACACCATAACCAAAGCAACTTATAGAGGGAGGGGTTTATTTCACCTTACAGTCCATCAGAGAGGGAAGCCAAGCCAAGAACCTAGAGGCAGGAGGAGCCATGGAGGGGACACTGTTTACTAGCTTATTCTCTGGCTTCTTCTCAGTCAGCTTTCTTATACAGGCCAAGACCCTGCATACTGTCCCTTCATACTGTCCACAGTGGGCCCTCCTACATTGATTAGCCAGGAAAATGCCCCACAGACACGCCTATAAGGCAATCTGAAATAGGCAATTCCTCAATTGAGGTTCTCTCCTCCCACGTGACACTAGTTTGGGTCAAGTCGGCAATAAAAACCAACCAGGATACCTACATTCAAATTTCCCACCAGGCAAAAGGCAAAATCCCCAGATGTGTTGAGGAAGGGCATTGTCCCCAGTCCCCACACCACAGACAGACGGTAAACCCCCGGGCTCCCATGCTCTGCTCTGAAATTTTCTTATGGCGCCATTACAATGTCCTGATGGACTTGCCTGTGTGTGGTCAGCGGGATGATGCTCCCATGTTCAGTGGCCAGCTTGCTTGCTCTTAGGGCTCCCCAGAGAGATGGAACCCAGAGGCTTTGAGACAAGGAACGACCGACCGTGAGGAGGTAGCCACATATGCATGAGGTGTCAGGTTCTTCACACTGGAGACCAAGAGAGCCTCAAGTGTAGCTCTGATCTGAAAGCAAGAGGGAAGATCTCACATTTCAGTTCACATCTCAAGGCACAGTGGGGGCCATGTTATTTGGTGTAGATAACCAAATGGTTCTATTGAGGCCATCAACTGCCTAGAAGTGGCCCACCACACTGTAGGCAGCCAGTCCCCAGACTCAAATGTTTATCTCATGACCCTCACAGACACACTTGAAGGAACTTCCTCTGGTGCCCTGGCCAAACACAAAATTAACCTTCACATTGCAGATGACACTAAAAGCACAGAGCCTCCCACGGGAAAGCGTCCTGGATTATTTGGATGGGGACAGAGCCATCAGAAGACCCTACCGGGGGAGGAGGGTGGGTCATAACTGGCAAGCTGGGTGTGGTGGTCAGGCCTGATGTCCTTTTACTCAGGAGGCTAAGGCAGGAGGATTGTGAGTTCTAGTCCAGCCTACAACAAAGGCAGAGCTGGAGAGATGGCTCAGTGGGTAAGAGCATTTGCTCTTGCAGAGGACCTGGGTTCAAGTCCCAGCTCCCAAATGGGGTTCACAGCTACATTTGTAACTCCAGTTCCAAGAGACCTAACACCTTCTTCTGACCTCTTCAGGCACCAGGGACACATGTGATGCAAGACATACACATAGGAAAAACACTTATCATACATGTAAAATAAAAATAAGTAAGTCTTAGAAGAGAGTGAGGTGGACAAAGAAGGAACTATGAAGATGGAGAGGGATTCGGGGACTGGAAGACACTGGTTGGACTGTTGGGGTAGAGGGTGTGGGTGCCTCTGCAAACTGGAAAGGAAAAACTGGTTTCTCTGCTGGAAGCCTCCAGAGAGGTGTGCCCTGCCCACACCTCCATATCAGGACCCGGACCCAGAGTCTGAGATCATACGTCAGTGTTGTTCTCAAGCAGCAGTGTCCAGTATTTTGTCTCGGGGAACAAATGAGCGTGTTCCTTTTCTCTTTGTGTTATGAGTCATTTTGCTAGGTAAAAATTTGCTTCATGTCACATCTCACCTGCTTAGCTCTTCCTCCAGGGCTGACACTTGTTTTTGTTTGCTGTTTCTGAGTCCAGGCATTATCAACAAAGGTGAATGCTCCAGCCCCAGAGCCTCGGGGTTTCTGTGTCGCGTCCTTTGCTTGGATTCCCAGCAGCAGAGCCACCAGGTCTGAATACCACCTCTGAATTAGCCTGTTGACCCCCCACAGACACCCCGGCATTACCCTGGCCACCGAGAGGAGGGTGGATTTGTTTTTCTGCAGATATCAAGGTGTGCTTGACAGCTTTGAAGGGCAGCTTGTTTCAGCCTTGGCCTGGACATTTGGAGGGGGCTGTCTTGTGTTTTCCCTGAGCCCCAGGAGAACCCCCTTCCTCTGAAATGCCCTTTGTGCAATTTGCAAACAACTCCTCAGTGCTCAACCACCTCTCCCGTAGAGAGGATACTAAACTTTTGACTGATGGGGACCCCAAATTCCTCAAGGAACCATCTTAACTAGAAATCTGATCTCCAACCTCAAACATTCCCCATATTCACATTTCACCCCCGTATTCCTTCTGCCCTAGGAGTGAGGACAGACTCCACATTTCATGGCAGATGTGCCTCCATGGTTTTGGTCCATGGTTTTGGTCTATTCTACATTCCCCAGACAGAAGCAGCTATTCACAGCCAGGTCATGGGGGCCATGATGGGGAGGCCAGCACTCTCTATCCCAAACACGTTTCCAACATGTTCTGTCTGTGTAAGGACAGTACGCGAGAGTTTTCTACCAGAACAAAATGGCCTAAGAAATCAATTCTGAGGGTAACAAAAGTCAGAACTGGCAACTGGGTAGAAGTTTTCAGCTTGGTCCCCAAACCACCACCCATTTGAGGAGCAGCTAAGCATCCCCAAGTGAGCCTTTGCTCCACCTGTCTTGTTCCCACTGCCCCTTGTGCCCCCTGCAGAGCAGGCCTGGCCCAGGGGGATCTTTTCCCTCTGTCTGAAGTGATCCTGTAAGACCAAGGCCATGATCACTTCCTGGACCTGAGCATCGAGCGGTTTCCTGGGGTCGGAGCTGACTTTGGGAAGGACCTGCTTACAGTGCAAAGGGCAGTCTGGGCTATGGAGTGTGGCTGCCCTCTGCTGGCACCTCTAAGCAATGACCACGGGAGACTCCAGCCAAGAAGGCAAATCCCTCTGAGGGACCACGCTGAGTAGTAGCACAGATGGACACTGGGTGGCACCTTCCCAGTCTTGGGGCATGTATAAGGATTTATTTTGTCTGAAAACAGATATGTGCAGGCAAGAGACAACCATCTACATGGATATTACCTCACCCCAAGTGCTACATGGGTAAGCATACCATCTGCCCACCGCCACTGCTCACTCCCAGACAGAAAGATCTTTCTGTCTTGCCTAGATAGAAAAACTGAGAAAAGAGACATCAAGCCCCTGTTGATAGCCCACCCCTTTTAGAGCACCCATAAGGTGCTGTCGGAGGCCTCCCTCAGTCAGGGACCCCAAGGAGAGTGGAATAAGTAAGTGGAGACCCCAGCAGGCCAAAGGCAGGACAGGTAAGTCCTGGGCTGGGATACTCCTGGGCAGTGAAACTAGCTTCAGAGTGCTCCCTCTTGTGAGATGAAGGTCCTATCTGCTCCATGGAACCTGACACCCCACCCCCACCCCACCCCCAGTGCACACACAGCCCTGACTCTCTGAACTCAGTCACCTATGTCTCCTCCCCTGAAGCAGGATCAGCATTCACTGACAAGGGCCTTTGTGCTCTGCTCAGGGCCCGGCTCCCCCAATACTCAGAAGCTCCCAAGCCTACAGGCTCCTGTCCCTAGCCCACCAGATCTCTAGACGCCATTGGAGGCCTGGAGGCCTAGGCAGGACCACTGGGGCTCTAAGCCCTACAGTCAGACACTGTCATACTGCCCTCTGGTCAGAGGCCACAGCTCAGGAAGGCTTAGCCGTGGCCTTTAGTCCAGGGACAGCAGCCAGCTTATAGGAAGGCACCCACCACCACCTCTGCCAATATTTCCATGCTTGGGGCCATGAGGTCCCGCCTGGCTTCCTGCCCCTGATGCCCTGCAGTGCTCAGTGCTGCCACTGGTTGCCCCAAGAGTCTCAGTCTACCCCCCCTCTCATTTTTGTTTCTTAAAGATTTATTTTTACTATTTTTAATTGCACAAATAGGGTGGTGTATGTGCAGGTGTCCACAGAGGAGGGAAGAGGGCATCGGATCCCCTGGAGTTGGGATTACAGGCAGCTGTGAGCCACCTATGAGTTTTCGCTCGTAACATTTGAGCCATCTCTGCAACACCACCCTGTTCTTTTTCTACTTTCAAACCAACAATCATTATTTTTTTCAAGGGTGGGGCCCAGAAAGCTCCTTTAAACACTGCCGATAGGTATAAATACAATGTAGTTTCCTTCTTGAGGATTTCTGTTATCTTGATAAACAACTTTTCTAAGTACGGGTGACTTAAATTGTCAAAGAAAAATCTTCAAGTTCCCTTGAAATGCCACCACTTTTCACACCCTTAGGAAAGCTGCTCTATGCTGCCCACCTGAAATTTAACTACCATTTAACTATGACATTAGTGAATGTGAGCAGCAGTCATGGGCTCATCCCCACACAGTGAGGCAGCCAGTGCCTCTTCAGCAGCCTGGATATTCACAATGCCAAATACAGAGATTATATCTGAACTGTCAAACTGGATCCAACAACTCTGCCTCAGTGTGCCAATTCTGGGCTCCATTCCTGTTCTCCAAGGGGACAGGGACAGTTACTCCCCAGGGGAATAGGCTGTGGGTCCAAGTGACCTTTCTCATGATCTGAGGCTTTTTATAACCACAAGACTCTCAAATCATAAAAAAGCTGGCCTCTGAGTCCAAGCCTGGGGAAGAATATCACCCTCAATGCGGCAGCTGGCCTTGTTTCCTGGCTTCAAACTGAGCTGAGTCAAGACCAGATGACCCAGCAAAGCCCAGAAGGGCTCAGCCATCCCAGGGAAATCCAACAGAAGAAAACTGGTGCCTTCGGTCACTAAGGACCTGTGGCCACAGCAAAAGCTGGTAGAGGCCCTCTTGGGGCTTCTCCTGATACTCCACAGGCTTCAGACACTCAAAGGTCCATTCTTTCTGATTGCAGATATCTGTCCTGGGTAGGAGGCTGGGATTGACCTGGGAACCCCTCCATATGGGGCCAGGGTCACAGGCCAGAGTGAACAGCTGTGGGGATAAGCTGCATTCAGGATCCCTGGCTCCAGAGCCCACCTGCCCGCCTACCATTAACACTCCAGTTTGTATCCTACTGGACTCAGTAGGCCAGGAGAAAGGAGGAGGAAAGGAGCCAGCTCAGATCTAGTTCCCAAGGAAGGCACAGCTCTCTGGACTTAAAGCGGTGCTCAGAGGACGAGGGTCACCCTGCCCTGCAGGACAGAAGCAGATGAAGTGCCAGTGCTGAGCAAAGGTGGCCACGTGCTAAAAGCTCTGGACCTCTCCTGGATCTGGACTTATAGCCATATGCCCCCCACACAAACAGTGATTGGCTGAGGAACCCGGGACAGGTCCCCGGGAGTGTCATTCACACCCCGCCACACCTGTGGTTCATCATGAGCTATGCACCCAGACGCCCATCTATCCTGGCTGTTGTCCTCACCACAAGAAAGCTGCCAAGCTGGACAGGGAGTAAGGACAACACAGGAAGATCAAAGACAGGGGCCTTAAATAGGGGATGGGGGGAGCAGAGGTGGTAGCAGCCCCCCGGAGGTCAGAAGTTCAGCTGAGCCTGGACTGACAATTTCTGCCATGCAGACACATGTCCCCACCTTGAGGGGCTACTGACCTTTCTTTCTCAGGGAGGGGTGAGGGAAGATCAGCTAACCAGCGGGGACACAGCCAGGAAACCAGGACAAGGCTGGAAGCCAGGCTGCAGATTGGCTGGCAGGTTTAGGTACAGCACTGAATGGGCTCCACAAGAAGGGCAAGGCTCTACATTGCTTGATGAGGTACAGAAAAGCCAGAATGAAGTTTTGAGAAAGGAGTCAGCTGTAGCAGGGCCAGTGATGAGCCAGTGCAAGGAAGGAGGAGCTGTGAGCTGAGTCCCTACAACACAGCTGATCTGTCACCCTTCATATGTTCCGTCCATGTCTCTATGACAGTCTGGAGCATCAACACCAGACTTCCTGGAGAGTATCACTCACTTATATAGATTTGGGGTCCCAGATACACAATCAGACTCACTGACACAGGAACCCAGCTTTCAGGACCTTCCTGATAAGGCCTAAGATGCAAGCAGCAAGGACTTATCCCAGCAGAGCCTGGACTCCCAACCAGCCTGCCAGATCTGTGTCCCCTTTCTCACATCTGACTTCCCAGGCAAGAGCTGCAGGCTCCTGAAGGTCCCCTTCCTTCTCTGGCTTTTTGTCCTCATCCTTGACAAGGGGTGCTTTCCCCCACCTGTGTCCCATGACACCTGAACCAGCTGAAGCTCACCCCAAGTCTGTATGCCCTTGTAGTCTTGGTATACTCCTGTGGGCAATCACAGTTGCACATGGATGGCAGTTTGTCCAAGATGGGGCTGCACGACCACCCTTGGGTCTTAGCAAAACAGGAAGGCCCGTAGAGCAGTTTGTGGCTCCCAGGCACGGCAGAGCTACGAGGCAAAAGTGAGCTAAGCCAATAGCACAGGTCTTTGCTGGTTCCATTACTGAGATCTTGGTCCTGCACCATGGGTGAAGAATGGGGCAGCTGAGCTCACAGTTCCCTGTGGATCCACCCACTGCCCATCCGCTCCCATTTGGATGGTACCTGCAGTGCTATGCCCAGTCTCACCTGCACTAAGACATTAGTAGAGCTCTGCAGCAGCATCACCCACCCTGACCATAATGCACAGGTGCCATGCCATGGCCCAGGAACCCTGCTGTATTTGTCCCTGGCCTGGTAGGGCTTTCTTGAGCCTTCCTGGGTTCCCTGACCCTCATGCTCCCCACTCAGAGCCCCCATGACCTGGTCTTTTGTCTCATGTCCCAACAGTCTTGCAGACCCAAGAATCTTCAGAACACAGAATCTTCAACCTCACATCCCACCCTCTGTGCCCATCACTTCTGGCTCGCTACTGCAGGGGCCCCAGAGTCCTCCATCCATTTGAGACTGCCCTCTTGCTCCTCAAGTGGGGGCCAGTTCTTGAAGGACCTGAATATCCCCATGATCAGCTATGATGAGTCAGCCCTGATTAGCAACCCGAAAGAATGAGGGACAGGCAAGCACTAGGGAGCACAGGCCAGCTTGAAAGTTTCCTGATCTCCAAAATGGCTGTGTTTCTGCCATGTTTCCAAAAGCAGGCAGTCAACAGTGGCCCAGACACAGTCCTTCCTAATAAGACCCCTGATGTGGGCAGCTGCCATGTGACCAGCTTCCTGACACTCACCTCCACCTGCATCCATCCAGGTCATCCAGATGGGATCTGATAACTCAAGGCCATCTATCCAGGGCTGTCACCAGCACCTGGCCCAAGGCTCTCAGATCTCCCACCTGAGTTCACAAGGCTTTGTCGTCCTCCAGGAGGAACCAGTACCGATCCAGAAGCAGCCTCTGGAGGGGTGACGCAGGAGGGAGTGACCCAGAGTCAGCTGCTTATTTCCTTGTTCCTCAGAGAGTCTGATCTTCGAGGCACCGAGCAGCAGCCTCCACCAGGACCTTCTTGGTGCCTAGAAAAGGACAAGTGTTTGTTCCCTGTCCCAAGATCCCTCATGATAAGGGGTAGTGGCTTCCCTGCAGGTGTGGGCACAGCCCTTCAGTGGGCACAGCAAGAGCCAAGGAGGTGGAGACAATCTTCCTGCTAATCAGGTGGCACCTATGTGAGACCCCAGGGCTCGTGTGGAACTAGGGGAAGAAAGAGCAGGAGGGGCTTCACAGGTGGGGGTGGGTGGGGGAGGGTGAGGAAGACACCACGCTCAGCCACAGGAGGTGGGGGTGGGCGGGGAGGGTGAGGAAGACACCGGGCTCAGCCACAGGAGGTGGGGATGGCCCACTTGCTCCACTGCTGTCTGATGGCTTCTGCTCTGTGGAGATGGAGGAAAAGTTTTTGCAGAGCCCACAAGGCTCAAAAATGTAAACGTCATAGGAGGAGCTTTCTAGAAAACATCTGCCAGCCCCTCTTGGGAGAATGCAGGATGGTGCTCAGAGACCAGCTCCACAGGAGGGCAGCAGAAAGAGTCAAAACTGACAAAACTTGGGGCTGGAGAGATGGCTCAGAGGTTAAGAGCACTGACTGCTCTTCCAGAGGTCCTGAGTTCAATTCCCAGCAACCACATGGTGACTCACTACCATCTGTAATGAGATCTGGCGCCCTCTTCTGGCCCCCAGGGATACATGCACACAGAACACTGTATACATAAGAAATAAATAAATCTTTAAAAAAAAAAAAACTGACAAAACTGTGTGAACAGGCCAGGGCCTGAGAAAAGACAAGATGGGCCAGAATAATGGGTGGATTTGGGATGGTAGGCAGGCTGATTTTTCTAAAGAGGAGCCACCTAGCAGAAACCAAGATTCTCCAAGGCCCAGGCCCCAGTTTTCCAGCTTTTAAACCTTAGCTTCCTGGTTGCTGAATTCGGTCTATCTCACTCTCACTCACCCTTCACAGGACTATTGACACAGCCTGGTTGGCTTAGGGTTCCCCCATGCAGGGATTGGGGAGATCTTAGGCTTTGTAGGATGGACTTTAGACAGGTCCAGTTGTGGCCAAGCCTCATCCTGGCCTGCCTGAGTCAATCTGTAGCAAAAGTCCTGCTCATCAGGGTAAAGAGGCCCCTACCTACGATGTCCAGTCACCTCTGCTGTCATGAGTCATTTAGCAATCCTGGACCCTGGACCCCTTGACTATTGACTATGGACTCCTCTAGGGCCATCCCATCTCCCACCATCAGGAACCAACCTGTCCTTGTAACAGGCTGCAGCCTCCACCCCTCCAACTATAGCACCAGCCTTCAGAACAGGCTCCCTTGGAACAGGATCGGGATCATCTCCCTGCCAGTGCCCTCTGCCCTTGTCCTGGACACTTCTAGTCCACACCGAGTCCACACTCAACCTACTCCCTGTCACCCAGACTACCAAAGACATGGCAGGAGGGCACCCTGAGCACTCCAGCCCGAGTGGGCACAGCTCTGCCTGACATCATTAATCTCACGCTTGCTCTTGTGTCAAAGTGCACGAGATTTCTTGTAAAAATGATCCGGCTGCTAATTAGGCTGTTTATAACTTGTTTCCCTGGTCGCTGATGATAATTAACATGCAAATGAGCTTGGGGAGGGGAGGCTCTGAGCCCCCGTTCATTACCACGTTAATTACTGTTTGCATACTTAAGTATCTCAGACACAAATGGCAGCAGTTAGCAGAATGGGCAAGATGATCATTATACCCACGGCATTTTGAAAAGTCATTTCACTCTGTTATTTTTCTGAGTGATTAATGGTTCCTGGTGGCCTGGTTGATAAACTTCGTTAGTTCAAGCCAATCTAGGCTGTGTACACAGACTGCGGAGCGGCTCCCGGCGCAGCGCCATCAATCTCTCTGTGTACCACCTCCACCCACCCACCCCTGATGGTGACAGAGTTTCAGGAGAAGGAGGAAGCAAAAGAGAAAGTTGGGCAGTTCTGAAGCCAGAGAACTTCTTGGTGTTAAAGGGATGGGCTCCAGAACCCACTCAACACAGTGGGCCGTGTTCAGTTATAGGGCTGAGTTAGGGGAGCTCTGTGTGTGTCTCAGGGCTGACCTAGGAGACCAGGATGTCCCTGTGCAGTGTCACATGAAATTCTTAGGTGGAACCTTCACAGTCCTGTCCCTCCCTCCCTCCCTCCCTTCCTCTCTTCCTTCCTTCCTGTCCCTTCTTCCCTCCTTCCCTCCCCTCCTCTCTTCCTCCCTTCCTTCCTGTCCCTTCCTCCCTCCCTTCATCTCTCCCTCCCTCCCTTCCTTCCTTCCCTCCCTTCCTCCCTTCCTGTCTCTTCTTTCCTCCCTCCTTCCCTTCCTTCCTTCTTCCTACCTTCTCTTCCTTGCTAGTCCCCTAGCTCTCTTCCTTCCTAGCTGTCTGCCAGGCACCTGCTAGGTGATGGTAATCCAACCCTGGCCTCCTCAACTGGAATCCCAGCAAGGAAGCCAACAATACCTAAGTGATCACAGGCTGATGGTGATGGGGGCAAAGAGGACCAGGGAAGTAATTTCATGTAAGAGGGTCTGTCTAGGTGGGGATGACTGAGCCCAGGCCTAAAGGAGTTAAGGAGAGCCAGGTGGATATTGGGAGGAAACAGTGATACAAAGACCCAGGAGTAGGACCAGGCTTATGGGGGAAGAGGATAGGGTCTGGCCCTGCAAGGGACCTCTACAAGTGGCCTGAGGAATCCAGGTGCCAATATGGGTGAGAAGAGGCAAGAGAGGTCCCTAGGTTGGGATCTGAGTGGATTTTGTGAGCTGAGCTTCAGACATGGTACAAATGGGCTGCAGACATGCAGGCAGTGAGACAGGATATGCCATGCTTTGACAGCAATGAGGCAATGTGGGTGGGAGCAGAGGAGCTGCATGGAAGGCGTATCTGAGGAGATCTCCTCACTCTAGCATAGCTCCTGTGCCCAGGTAGCCAGAAACTCAAGGCTCCAGGCAGGACACTTCTGAGCCAAGTCTCCCCCTTTGGACCTGGGCCCATCACCTGGCCTCAGAATCCAGTCCTCACTGGGAAGATGGGGTCCCCACTGAGCAAACCAGCCATGGGGGGCCATAGCTTCCCCTCTATGAACACAACCTTGTCTGTAGCTGAGCTGTCTGCCAGGGGAGCCCCCACACATGCCGGAACATAGACCCTGTGACCCTTTTCCCTATTCAGCCACCCCACTCTCGGTTTTGCCCACCTCCTGGGCACAGGTGTGGCTCTACACCTGCAGGAGAGAATGAAGCCACCAAAAGCAGCAGGTGAGCAGATGGCTGGGAAAAGGGGAACACATCATCCTACTACATTATTGATCCTAGGACGGAACAAGAGCCCCAGGGAACAAGAGGAGCCAGCTCCCTGGCAGGTGTGGATTGGGCGTGTCTGCCAGCTGCAGGGCCTGCCAGAGCTGAGCTCGACTGAGGTAGGGTCTAGGCTGGTGAGGAGGAGAGGAGAGGAGCGGAGCGGAGCCCCTCATTTGCTTGCAATTCGGGCTCACTGTCAACAGAGAAGACAAGCTGAAACTCCATTAGGTAACTCCCAGATCGCCCCAGGTAAATCTTCTGAAGCCTGGAGGGTTCTCTACTCAGTGAGGTCACATAGAACCCTGGCTGGGGGAGGGTACCCCAAGCTCCGGTGGCTAGGGGTGCTTGGGGTCGCTTACACAACCTGACAAAGCAATCTCAATGCTCGGGATGCAGGTGGCCCTGGTGGGTATGGGTAGGACCAAGCTCATAGAATTAGCCAATGCTGTAGCAGACTCTCAGGCCGGTACTGAATGAAAAGCACCACTGAGAGCCCAAGGTTGCCCTTTGGGGGATCCTGGGTGTAGATCTGCTCTAACTCATATTGGCTTAGACAAAATGAGCCCTTGAGGTGAGTGCCCGCGGAGGAGCAGGACTGGCAGCAGGCAGATGGATAAGGTGCCCCGGGGAAACCCTCAGGGAGGCCATGTCAGCGGCAAAGAGAAGCTCAGACCCCCTTGGGGGCCTGGGATGGGCGAACAAGGCTGACCAATTCACCCCTGAGCCATGCCATGACCTCCACCCTGGATCCAGCACCACCAGCAGCTCTCGGCGTCAGGAGGGCTCAGACCCCCACATGGGAGGGAGAACATTCTCCCAGCCCCCCCCCCCCCCCCCCCCCCCCCGCGATTGAACCTCACCATCAAGGACACATCAGTATCCGAGAGGCAGGTTGCCACTAGGTGGGTGACATGTCTGAACTCTGGAAAGACGTGGACCAGATCTCTCTAATCCAGCCCTCTTGGGAGAGCACCCTGGGGTCTGACTTCCCATGGGAATAGTCACTCCCAGTCTTCCTCTAGAGAGCTGAGAAAGCACTTCCTATCGGTCCTGCGTGCATTGCCCCTGAACAGTAACTCACAGCTACCAGACCTGCGCCCCACAAGGTCGGCCTCAGTTTTCTCAACTTCTCCACGGTCCCTGCTCATCTGAGAAGACCTTGGTCCCAGCCCAGGGCTCTTTCCAGTGCAGGGCATCCCAAGGCCCTGCTTAGACATTGCATGCAGGAAGCCTAAAGGGCTGCAATGACTCTTCCCTTCTTTCCGGGGGCCGACCACAACCACAGGTACAAAGCCATCAGCACAGACGAGTGGTCAGATGATCAGCGTACCTCTTGTGCAACTGTTCCCATGGGGTGTCTTAGAGGGCTATCACTATGGAGCAGGACTGACTGGATTCCCAACAAAAACAGGGTGTCTTGGGCAGCGGGACCCATGTAGTACACAGGGCCAAAATTCTGGCCACCACCAGCTAGATTTGAGTTAGACACAGCAGAAATCCTTTGGGCCAGGGAGACTAAAGCCATGTGATCTGTTCCCATGTCCAGGTTCTGAAACCCGAGGCCACAGGCCTTGGCCTCTCCACCCAGGTCCTGCAGCTGCTGTCTCCCACAATATCAGAAATGGAAACACAGTATAGAAGACAGCGTGGGCAGGTAGGTTCCAGCACCCAGGCATGTTGCCCTCAAATGGGAGCTGCAGTTGCT